TTGGTGGGCAGCGGCTGCTGCGGCACCGGGGGGAAGGGTATGGCGACAGGCACCGGCATCTGCATCGGCATCGGCATGTGCATGCCATACACAGGCCCGGTGCACGCCACGCCGTTGACGACCGGCCGCACGCCGCCCAGCCCGTGTGCCAAGTTGGGGCGCCCCATGCGCGGCTGCCCCGGCCCCGGCCCCTGCAGCGGCAGCGGCAGCGGCAGCGCCGGCAGCGAGGGCAGCGGCAGCGGGCGGCCGCGCCAGTAGCCGGCCTGCGGCTTGGCACCCCAGGCGGCGGCGCCGGGGCTGCTGTAAGCGCCGTAATCCTCGTCAGCTTCGCTGCCGCCGTGGGGCCAGAACTCGGCCTTGTGTGGCAGACCGTCAGGGCCCACATGCATATGCCCCACCCCTTGCGGCCGCTGCGGCACCGCGTGCGGCATCGGCGCGCCGCCCGGCGGCGGCCGCAGCATGCCACCGCCGGCGGCCCAGGCGGCGCCTTGCTGTTGCAGCAGCAGGTGCTGCTGCATGTGATGCTGGTGCTGCTGCTGGAGCTGCTGCATGTGCTGCTGCTGGGCCTGATGGTACTGCTGCTGCTGCTGCTGCTGCTGCTGCTGCTCATGTTGTAAGTGCTGCTGCTGAAAGCGCTCCTGCTGCGCCCCGCCCTGCGGCGGTGGACTCCGCCGGGCCTGCAGCTGCTGCGCGAAAGCCTGCCCCTGCTGGCGCTGGACCCACTCCTGCTGCTGATGCAGGGCGGCGGCGTGCGCCTGTGCCTGCTGCTGTTGCTGCGGCGGCCAGTGCTGCTGGGCAGGCGGTGAGGGCTGCCGCCCCTGCCAGGCGTGCGGCTGCGCCCCCTGCACCCACGGCTGATGCGTTGGCTGCGCCACGCCGGCCGGTGCGGGGTGCGGGTTTGAGTGCGGGTGCGGGTCCAGTGGCCCCGACGGCGGCGTCCCACCCTCATATACGCCGTTGGGCGGCGGACCGTAGCGCGCACCGCCGCCAGGCAGTTGCGAATGGGCGCTGTGCTGCTGGGAGGAAGGCGGCGGCCCGTCGCCGGCGGGTGCGAAGCCGCTGACAGAGGGTGTCAGCGGCTGCTGGCCATCCGCCGGGCCGTGTGCGGCCACTCCCGTCCCTGGTGAGCTGTTCTCGTCATCGATCCAGGCCTGAACATCAAAAATTTTTGAGGCGACATGGGGCAAGGTGTTGGCCGCAGCGGACGTGGTAGGGAGCGGCAATGCGACAATGGGAGGGGCGGCTGCGGCGGCGCTGCGACCAGGTTGGGCGAGCCCTGCTTGAGGCCTGACCGCCTCTGTGGCGCCTCGGCATCCCTCAATATTGAACTGTCGATCAATTAAGTTCACCTGTTGCTGTCGTTGCGCGTACATGCGGCACTTCTTGCTCGCTAGGGCCCACGAGCCCTCGGGGCCTGATAGCACGATGATCGGGCTGAAATGATACCTGTTGTGCTGATTTGAATGCTGCTCGGGTCAGTGAGCGAAGCAGCTGATTGAGCTGGGAGTGTCTACAGTAGACGTCTAGATCAAACACTGCTCCGTGGCCCCAGAATGTCTGTATATGACTAAAACCTACACAGTAATGTGCATGCAGGCACGCGTTGCGCGAACAAGAGGTGGACCGCGTTTAGCAGTGACAGAGAGGGGAATAGACAGGCAGCCAGGCATAATTTCAGGAGCTCCGACGTTCACGGCCTCTTTCCTTGTTTAGGTGCAGGGCAACATGGCACCAAAGGGTGAGGGCACCCGTCAGGCCGAACAACAGAGTGGCAGCCGTCGGAATAGGCGGGGCCGCGCCGTGCAGTGGCTTGCAATAGGCATATGGATATCGCTGAAATTGTCCACAACGTGCTCAGGCCCCTCGCGCGCCCCTGTCAGCTGGCGGCGGCAACATGCGCGCGCGCTGTGTGCGCCGCCGCCGGCTCCCGCCATCGATTTCCGCAACTGCGCTGGACCCGCGCAGGCAAGGACGCCAAGGCCGCGGCCGCCAAGGCCGCGGCGGCCGTGAAGAAGAACTCGTGGGCGAAGACTCGCAAGCCGCGCTACAGCGTGGTGTTCCACCGGCCAAAGACGCTCAAGCGCACGCGCGACCCCAAGTACACGCGCAAGAGGTGCGGCGCGGCGCGCGTGGGCAGCCAGGGATACAGACGGACAGCTGTGGAAAGAACAAAATTAGGGCGCAGGCATATGCTGCAGGCGTGGAAAGTAAAGAGCCGCGGCAACCATTATGGCAGGAAGGCAACAACAGGGCAGCGGCCGTCCCCTGTGGTTGCAGCGCCAACGGCAGCGGCTGCGGCGGCACCGAGGACTCGGCTTGGCAGCCGGAGCGGCTCTGAGGGCGGGTACTGATGCAGACAGCGGCAGGGTGGCGGCCGCGCCATCGAGCGCAGCCTCCGCTGGCGGCGTCGGGTTGAGCCGAGAGCCTTCCACAGCAGAAGCCAGGTCCTGCAGCAGATGCGCCAGCGAGCCACAGGCCAGGGCCTTCGTCTTGTAAATGCAGGAGCACCAACAGCAGGCGGAGGGGCAGCAGCAGTAGCCACAGCACCAGCAGCAGCGAGACTGGCGCGCCCACAATCCGCCCAGGCGGACTAGCCATGATATCCGTGGCTGCCGGTCAACCGAGGCGCAGCGAGCCGCGCCGCGGCCCCCTCCAATCTCGCCCAGCAGCGCCCGCCTGCCTCCGCTGCCCCATCCGCATTCTTTGCCCACCTTTGCGCGCACCGCAGCGCCGCGGGCCTGCAGAAGCTGGACCACTATGCGGTGCTCAAGTCGCCGCTCACCACGGAGTCGGCCATGAAGAAGATCGAGGACAACAACACCCTGGTGCGGGATGACTGGGTTCGTTTTGGGGGGGTATCAATCTGAGTAAATGTGTGGGTGTCGTCCAGTCGTTGCCCCTCTACTGCGTCCTGGGTGCACAGTCGTTGCAATGCGTCCCAGTCCAGGGCGGGGCGCCCTGCTTCGAAGGCAGCGCACAGAAAGCCGGGGCCGCTCGAGGCTGTTGGGCGGGGGCTGGGGGAGCAGGCGGGCGCGGGCGAGTTTTTCGGGGTTCCTTGGGAGGCGGCAGTGTCAGGAACGTGACCCGCAGGTGGCCGCGTGAGAGCGGTCGCTTTGCAGCACGCGCTCCTCCCCGCAGCCGCCATCAGGTGGGGCACAGCGGCTGCCTCTCAGGCTCTCGTCCCCCCTAATTCGTCCGTCTGCACACACACACATACACACACACACACACACACACACACACACACACACACATGCTCGCACACACACACACACATACATGCGCGCGCACACACACACATGCGCGCGCGCACACACACACATGCCCTGGTGTGCCCGCAGGTCTTCCTGGTGGACGTGCGCGCGGGCAAGCGCGAGATCAAGGCGGCGGTGCAGCGGATGTACGACATCCAGACCAAGAAGATCAACACACTCATCAGGTGGGGCGGGATGGCGAGAGGGGGGGTGCGCAGCGTGGCTGGCGTGGAACGGGAAATGCAACGATTCCCTCTTTTTTTTCCTTGTGTTTCTGGAACACAACTTCGAGATTACGCCTTTTGGAAGTTTCATTGACCAAACGCTGGATTGAAAGAGTGATCCAGCGCTGGGGTGGCGCGAGGCTGCGCGGTGCAGTGCGTTGATCTGCGGGGTTTGCCGTGTGGTGTGGTGGGGCATGCGGGGCCTTGTTGTGGTGTGATGTGCGAATGGCAAGCCGGGGTCGATGAGCACGGCCGTATGACACCAACCCGTGACTCACGGTTGTGCCACCATGTCGCACGCCACGGGCACAACCTGCTTTTGTCAGCCCACCTGCATGCCTTGAGACCGCCCCCCACCCCCGATGCCACCCAGGCCCGACGGCCAGAAGAAGGCTTACGTGCGGCTGACCCCCGACTACGACGCCCTCGACGTGGCCAACAAGATCGGCATCATCTGATCTGATCTGGCGCGACCTGATCTGGCCTTTCCCGCTGGGCGCCGATGGGACGGCTGCGACCGCCTCTCCCTTTGTGTAACTGGGGCTCCGCGGGGCGCCGCCGCGTGCTGTGCTGCGGGGCGCTGGTTCGCGGCGGCAATGGCGGCCGGGTTGCCAGTTTGGGTGCTGCTGGGCAGCATTGGGAATCTACAATGTGTCGGCTGGACAGCGGGGCGTGCGGCCCAGCGCAGCGCCGGCAGTGCGGTGTTTTGAGAGGATGCCCCGTAAGCGGGAGGCACATGCGACGTGGCGCTAAAACGCACGTCAGCCGGGGAGCTGTGCGCGCAGTGGTAGGCGGCGTGGCGCTCGGCGCACGCGCGCTAGGGATCCCACCGCATGCCTCGGTGCGGAGGCATGGCGGCAGGCAGGGCGTGACGCTGAAACGTGCGTCGCTGCGGGGTTCCCCCACTGGCTTGCGAGCATGAAGAGCACCGAGTGGTCTCGGTGGCTCAGGGGGGGGGCGAGTGCAAATAATAGGAGCACTGTCAGCGCAGTGGCAGGCGGCGTGACGCTCGGCGCACGCGCGCTGGGGAACCCACCGCACGTGGGATGCATGGCGGCAGGCAGGGCGTGGCGCTGAAGCGCGCGTCGCTGCGGGGTGCCCCCACTGGCTTACGAGCAAGAAGAGCTCTGACGGAGGTGGCTCAGGGGGAGCGAGTGCAAGTAACGGGAGCAAAGCCACGGGCGCCCCGGTTGAAAGGTGATTACACGCAATTGCGTGGGTCCGCATGCCGTGCCTGGCACTGGCTGGGGCGGGTGCAGATGCGCACAGTGTGCTGAGCAATGTGCGCCGGGCGCTGCATTGCGCCGACGCGGACGAGGGCAAGGATGTTGTAGGGGGCAGGCTGGCCGCCTTCCCGGTGCTCTTAGAGTGGGTGGTTTCATCTGGCGGCAGGCTAGGTGACTCCCAGCTTCGAACAGAGGCAGGGCCGTGGAGAGTGGGGGCTGGCTCCTCATTGGTCGGAGCGGCGCTGTGCTTGTGGGGCGAGGCACTGCGGGCGGGCGAAGGAAGCCAACGGTTTGGGAGCAATTGCTCTGACGCCTGCAAGGCAAGTCCCGTCGCAGTCGTGTAGCGGCCGCGGGCTGGGGTGCAGCACCCCTGTGAGCATTCAGCAGCAGCACAGCTGCCACATAGGGCATTGGATTGCGTGCACACACGCCTGCCAGCCCGGCTGAACTGAGGCGCACTGTGGGGCTGCCAAAGGAGGTGCTGGCACAATCATCAAATTTGAAATCACTGGAAACTTTTGAGACACCCTGCCGCGGCGTCCATGAGCCCATGCAGGCGAAGGACCGCAATGCAGATCAGCCATGCTGTACTGCAGCGTTGACCGTCAAGACCGCGAAGGTGATCTGGCACGAGAGGACATCCTGATCGCACACCTGTGATTATTATATTTGAGTTTTCATGCTGTTGTCGGCGTTGCGCTCTCGTACACGCGGCCTTGCTTGATCTTAGACGCGGTACAGTAGTATTAGCTACTCGACCGGCACTACCGTGACTGTTCCAATATGCGTGAAACAGGACAGCAAACATGAGCGGAAGAGATCACGCGGACCTTGAGCTGCAGGTCGTTGTTGGCGGCACGCTTTTGCAATTTGATGCGCCGCTGCCCTCACTGCTCGTGCTGCTGCCACGCAGACCGGCGGGCCCTCCTGCATGCAGGTCCCCTTGCACGCGAGTGCATGTATATTCGTCATCTAAGATCCCCCTCACACCTTGCACCCATATTATAGGGCCGCAGCCTCCGCATCGGCGCCCAAGCCGCCTGTGGCTGCGGCGCCCGCGGCGTGTTCAGTGGCGCCGCCTCCTTTTCAGAGTACTCAGATCTGGGTCTCTCCCCGCCCTCAGAACGGTCATCCCTATTTGATGATTACGGGGATGACGAGGACGCCAAGGCCAGCAGCTTCCCTCGCGCCTTGGGCGTGCCCCGCCTCTTCGGGCTGCCCGGTGGGCCGGCCCCCGGTCGCCTGGCGATGGCGCGGCGGCCGTCTGGCGGCGCCGCCGCGGGTGCGGGCGCGAGCGCCGGCGGCGCGCGCGTGTCACCAACAAAGCTGGACGCCGGGCGCCGGCAGCGCGAGGCGGAGCGGGCCCGGCCCGCCGCCGTCAACGCCGCCGTCGGCTCAGCGGGGTCCAGCGTCCCCCCCCCCCCGACTACAGGCAGCTGGGCAGGCGCTCTGCCACAGGCACTGCAGCGGCAGCCGCTCAGCAAGAGCGCAGCCAAGCCGTCATTTCAAACAGCAGCTGCTGTTTTTGGCAATGTGCTGGGCCAGGCCGGGGTCCAGCCCCGCCAGGCGGCGGCCTCAGCGGCGGCCGTGGCAGCCCCATTGCCTGGCGGCTCCGAAGCAGCCGGCGGCGCCTCTACGCCGCGGCCTGCCGGCCCGAGGGTCCGCCAAGGCACCTCCGAGCTCCCAGGTCCGGGCCTGGTGACCGGCGCTGACGCCGTGCGCCACTTTGCGAGCGGCGCCGGCGGCCAGGGCGAGCGCGTGTTCTGCAACCGCACGGCGGACGCTGGCCGCGACGGGCATCAACCCGCCGTTCAGGCGGCCCTGCTAGGCGTAGGCCACCTGGACGGCGCGCGTGGCGGCCCGGGTGCAGGCGGCGGCGGAGAGGGCGGAGCTGATGACGTCACTGGTGGCCGAGGTGATGTCAGTGCGTACGACCTGGTGGTTGTGCCTCAGCGGCTGGCGGACCCTGATCTGCATTACGTGATTTGCTGGAGCGGCGTGGTGGAGATGAGGTGAGGCGGGGGTAGAGGCTTTCTCAGGCTGTGGGCACAGCCACATCGGTGCGTTTCAAGGGTCTCTGACCAACTTTGATTCTGACCATTGCGGCAGTAGGAGGCGCCCTCCCGCCGCCGGACAGGTCGCCGCGTGCATTGCGGTTGGTGTGCGTATGTGTAAACACCACGCGCCTGCGGGGCCCATGCTGCCGGTCCGCAGGCGCGGCTGCGGCCCGGACCTCGTGCCCCTGGCTGAGTGGGTGAGAGAGGCGCAGCTGTACCGCCAACTGCGTGCGCTGCCCTTCTTCAACCAAAACCGCCTCAGAACGGTGGGTGATGGTGGCCACAGTCGCATGCGTTCTTCAGAAATTCCCGACGTTCGGTCTCGCCGGACCGCCACGCACGTTCAACTGCCCTGCCTGCCGCTTGGTTTTATAACGGTGCGTTGAGTGAGGTTTGGCAGCTGCAGCTGCGGAGGCGAGTGCTCCTGCACAAAACGGCGCGAGCGAGGCGGCCCGTTCGCGGCGCGCCACGCAGGCGTTCCGCCGCTGGCGCGCGCGCGTGTCCCGCGGCAAGCTGCGCGCAGCGGCCGCGGCGCTCGAGGCGTCGCTGCTATCGAGCGACCCCACGGCGCGGCGCTGCATCGGGGGCGCCGCCGCAGAGCTGCGGCGGCTGCTCAGCGGCTGCGGTGGGGCAACAGGCACGACACAGGGCGGGGAGGCGTGGGTGCGTGCAGAGGGCACAGGTGCGTGAGGCGGGCAGATTGGCGGGCGGGACGCTGTAATCAGGGGTGCACCTAGGTGCACTCCAGGTGTGTTTGCTTGCGTGGCTCAGAAGGCCAGCATGTGCCAGCAGGTCAGCATCGAACTGCTCGGGTGCAGCACCGCTCAACGTCCAAGCACACGGCTGGGACGCAGCCGTGTACTGCTGCGTGTGTACTGCTGCGTGCATCTTCGCAGCGTGCATCTTCGCAGCGTGCATCTTCGCAGCGTGCATCCTGCGCGCACGCGACGCGCCGCCGGCGCCTCGCCGCGCCGCCTCCCCGCGCGCAGGCCGGTGGGTCCGGTCCAGCTGCACGGGCGCCGCTGTGCGTCTGCCGGCGGAGCCTCAGGATGTGCCGCCCGCTGCGGGGAGCCTCGTGCAGCTGCTGGCCCTCTCACCAGACGCAGGAGGCACCAGGGTGGGCGCTTGTAAGGAACCGCGCGGCACTCAGCGGCGGGGCGCACGTTGCCCTGTCACCAGCACCTGCCTGCTGCCTGTGTTGATCCATGGAGCACTCTTGTCGGCACTTCTGCCGGCATTGCAATGCGATGGCAAAGCATCCGCCTGCTCCGCCTTTGCCTCGAACCCTCCACCCCTCACTCGTGTCGTGACCCTGGGGGTCCTCAAGGAGCTGTGACTAAACAATCATGTGATGCGACTGACATCGACAAAGATTCCCGTGACCACCAAACAATACATGCCACATTTTGAGGACGACACAATGCCCCGTTGCCAATGTATCACCGCTGATTTGACCGCAGGCGCTCTCGCTGCCAGATTTCTCGCGCCGCGTCGCGGCGCAGCACGGCGCCGCGGCCGCGCGCCTGCGTGCGGCGCACGCGCGGCTCGCGACGCTGCTGGACGCGGCGGCGCGGGAGATGGACGCTCGCATCGCGGCGGGGGCCCGGCGGGCGGCGGCGGGGAGCGGGGCGGCGGCAGGTGCGAAGAGGGCGGACAGGCCGCTTCGGGATGGCACGATGGGACATGTTGCGCACCGTCGATCGGTCCCCCCAGCTCTTTTGAGTACTTAAATTCTGCAATTGATTGCATAGCAGTGATGCATTGTCTTGTCGCTGAAACCACCAACAAGCGCCCGCCCGCTCGCCCCGCCCTCGTGCCCAACGCGGGGCAGGCCGCTCCCCCCCGCCGCCTTGGCGGGCGCAGCCCCCGTTCGACGCGCCCGCGGAGCGCCTGCGCGCGGCGACGCTGCTCTGCCGGTGAGCCGCGGCCCCCCAGCCTCACCCTGGCCCGCCGCCGCAAACTCACGACGTCTGCCGGCTCACCCAGCCGCGGCTGTTGCAGCTGCCCCGCACCTGACTCAAGCTCGTGCTAGTCGGCTGACGCCGCAGGCGACGCCATAACTGATGCAGCAACTGACACCTCAGCGCTGACGCCCATCCGACTGCCACTCGGGTCAAGTGTCAGCACCCGTCCCTGAGCCTGGGGCACCCCTGCCCTCACGCTTTGTAACTGAAC